ATAAAATAATGTTTAACCCGCGCGGGGCTGGGGTCTCCAGCCGAACGCGCGGGGCTGGGGGGGGGGGTTAATTTTACCCCCCCCTGTTATCTCCCGAACTAACGGTCCGATTTGGAAAATTCAAACGCCAATCGAAAGCTCTCATCACGAACTACTAAAAACATGTACTTCATTTAAAGTTTGAGGTCAAGGTCAAGGTCAGGTCAAGGGTACAAATTGCAAGTTTCTACAGTATCGGCCTTGCACCGTAGTTGCCGAAGAATGGAGTCATGGACTGAGACTGATCGCCCAAAACGTGTTCTTAGGCTACCAAGACAATATCCGTTGCATACAATATCATTCAGAGGTCAAGGTCAAGGTCAGGTCAGGTCACGTCAGGTCACCAAAAAACAAAATATAGAAAAGGGCATGTGCGACACATGTTTTATGGGTCATTTTACTCATAGAATTCAATAGGCACACTCAATAAGTGATATGGACCACCTCTGGATGAATTTCAGGTCGAGATCAGGTCAAGGTCAGGTCAAGTGAGGTCAAATTTTGAAGTTGGTTGTTAAGGCCTAAAAAGGTGTCTATCTGATGCAGTTTTTCACGGCGAATCGAATGGTGCTATTTTTGTCTCCGTACGAGGTCTAGAACTTCCAAAAAAGTCATTTTTCAAAAATTTGGTGTGTCGTGACGTCATAAAATTTTGAATAACTCCCACATTTTTGAACCGATTCTTCTAAAATTTGGTATGTAGGTGCACATAGACCACTTCTCTGACATATATTCCGGTTTTTTCGATAGACTCAAAATTTTGGATTTTATAATGATTTTCCCAAAAAAGTCAGTTTTTTGGAAAAATTTAGGCCAAAATCCAAAATTTTCAAAAAACCGAGATAGCCATTTGATAGACAAAGTAAAATTACGTATAACCTTTTTTGTTACGTCTTGATTCCTTTAAAAATGAAGATGTTAGCGGCGTTTGAACTTTTGCCGTTTTTGAGGCGAAAATGACGAACATGATGTCACTAAAACGTCAATTTCTCAAAAATTTTCCGACGGATTTCGCTCAAATTTTCAGGGAACGTGTCAAATTGATGTAAGAAAAGGTACTGAAAGTTTGGCGGCGCTGCGCGCCGCCGTTTTTGAGATATCGCAAAAATTCGCGAGGGGGGTAAAATTTACCCCCCCCCCCAGCCCCGCGCGGGTTAACATTGTTACCACGTTGCCTCATTTGCTACCTGTCTAATATTCCCTCGGCGACAACGCATCACTCTGAGCTCATTACCAATCTGCCCAACACGGCTCCCTCTCAAGGCTCTACGTCTTCCTATCTGTCCAGCATGTCTGTCTATCTGTTCAACACGATTGTCTATCTGCGGCCCCAGTGCCCATCAGCACGTTCCGGTCCGAGCAGCCCATGCCTCCACTGGAGATTGACGAAACGGATTTTCACTGAAGCAGGGCCGGAATACAGAGGTCGACACAAGCCGTTTTCACGACGGACAATCTGGTGGATGCACCTAATTTGACCAAATCTGAACCAAACCTGAACGAAAGCTTTTTTAAATCAAGCATCTTTATATCATGAATTTGCTCGGTGTTTTAATCGATAATAATGTCTGACAATTTGACAAAGCAGGCAAGTAGTGCAGCCCTAGCTGAAAGCTACTAAGAAATACATTGAACCTAATTTGACCAAATCTGCACCAAATGTGTACCAGATTATCGTCGTGAAAACGGCTACAATATACCGGCCAATACAGCAAGCCCTGTCATCGCTATGGACAAGACATACAGACACTGAAAAAATGTAACTGCAACGAAATATATTTACAATTAAATGAAGAAGTGAGCAGTGCCTACCTTTTGACACTGACGAATAGCGATGAATGAGAACGCTGACGCACACATCAACGCTCTCGATATCAGCCAAGTGACACAGTTGTCATCCATTCCATCAATGCCTGACACTGTGTCAGGTCACAACCTCAACGCCTGCCATTGTGTGTTAGATCACACCTGTCAACACCCGCCACTGTGCCAGGTCACACCCGCTTAACGACAGACATCGGTCGGTCGGCCGGACGCGCAGCAGATAGCCGGTAGCTGCCTTGTCCTTGTCGACGATTGACAGCAGGACTCGTGTTCGATCAGCCGCTGACAGCAGCTGACGCGGCTGTCACAGCTATTAATGGCATATCGAGGAGCCGAGCAACGACCGACGATTGATGCCACGTTTGTCTTCATTGTGCTCAACCGGGCATAAATGCATGCTCGATGACCGTATTTGAAATTAAAACGGCTTGTAGAGGTGAGATTTAGACGAGTTATACGAATGCTCAAGTAGACAGGGCCATGGCAGATTCCAGTCGGCGTTTGGGTCACTGGTCTCGGTGTTTCCAATGATGAGTTTATCGTTTTTTTTTTCCAACTATCGAGGAGTGGTGGACATGGATTCGATGAGTATGTTTCTCTCCACCTCGCTGTAACGTCGCTGTACCATTGGTGTTCAGTTTCTCTGGTATAGAGAGCACGCATTTGTCTAAACATGTCAGATAAGCCCGACTTGTGTTGAACGGTATCAGGCAGACAGCGAGACTTACGAATTCAAATGTTAAGTGTGGATGATAAATGCGGTTCCTAGAGGTGAGAATGTGATGTTGGGCCATCAGAACATCATTATACAACTGTTTACGCTAAGGTCTCAGAAAAATATTGTAACTTGCGATATTTGTCTCCTAGACGTTATAAAAGAAGAACAATGGAGCACAGTCACATAACACCAGCAAGGGCATTAAAAGAGCACGTTAAAAGTATGGGAAAGCCATCCAACTTTATCAAATAGTTTCGCTTTTGATAATACCCTGTTCACAAAACCAGAGGTCATTCGGTCAGCTACAGGTCACTGACTTGGACCAAGCCACCCCAACCGACCCATCAACTTCCCCCAAATGTCGGCAGTGGCACGTGACCACTCTGATTCTGTCATTGCGTCGGCTGCCGCCTGTCACGTGACCATTCTGTCTGTCGCCACATGTCCCAGTCACAGAGTGTCGAAGACCACGTGACCTTAGTAGCGATTAGGCGCGATGCCCGGATTCCAATCCATCCCCAACTGACTGGCATTTTTCTTGGCCAGCTGTCGTCCGAGTCGTAAAACCTCTCCGCCAAACAACATCCGAGCCCGGCGCATTTAACCGATCGGGAGATCCTATCAAAAAATCTAAGTCAACACCTCCAGCTGAAATCCGACGAGAGCTGTCTCTAAGCCAGCTTTGGACAGCTAATCTGCTTGGACAGAGAGAACAGATATCAACCCAGGGGGCGGGTACAGACCTTAGTGAAGTCGAGGAAGGTTTGAGAGGTCAACGACTTGACAGGCAAGGACAAGATCATCAAGGTGTTGATGAATTCCAGGCTGCATGTTTTAGCAAGCTGCTTGCTTTATTGAATAAATATAACACGGGCAGCCCAGCTAGTTTTTGCTCATTGTCGCTTCCGAAATGAATGGCGATGTGAGATGTTTTCGCTGAACACTTCAGTATTGGGGCAGATCCAGCTAGATAGCCGATAAGAGGATAAGGCTGAAGGGTGCGAAGAATCCCTGTTTTTAGGACAATGACACGGATTCACAGGCCACTATTTTCGCATGTGGTGTATGCTCCACAGATGACAATCTTCCTCTTCGACGCCATGCGATAATCTTCTTCCACTTGAAAGAGTTCCTTGGAAAATGGGAAACCGGAAACCATCCGACTGATCCACACGCTAAATGATGCTTGACTTAAATTATCATTGTGCTCACATAATTGACAGACCGGTGCGCTATACTCAAATATGCACGTTAACTACCATCTATTATCATTCATCATCAAACACAGGTGTGCAAAAAGGATCAGCTGCCTTAGATCAAACGTTGGTACTCAGGTAAGTACCGTCTACAGACATCTGCGTCGATTCCATCTCCCTACAAAGATGCCAGCAGAAATCACACAGTCCCGCCGCTCATGCTCTACATCAGCCCAAAATGGTATTACTTTCTTTGTCCGCCATTGTAACTGTCGGGTAATTGGTAGCAATATACCTGACGGTGTTTCGTTCAGCATTGTTGACGTGCCATGCCACGGCCCGGCGCTGCACTCAGGCGTGTGTCGATGGTTGTCACGAAAGCCAGACTGGCTTCCTGCCGGGAGCGCCGCACGGCTGGAACGAAAATTGATGCCGTGCATAGCTCGTCAGGCGTATAGTTTGAGGCGGTTCGGGGTACAATGGCTTTCTGAGAAAAGTGACACAAAATGAGAGTGATGATGCGCCGAGTTTGATGCAATTTAAGCATGGAAAATGTATTTGTTTCATACCTGTTGCATACGATATACCTGGGTCAGGCAGAGTCACGAGCTCGTATTATTCGTGAGCCCTTCACACATGGCGCGGAATTGCGGCGCTCACTCGTTACAAGAATATTGAGTCGAATGCCAATGGAAAGGCCGAGCCGGAACCTTGTACTTCTTTATAGATAAAAGTATCTTACCAACAGAACCTTCCATGAATTGCATCGTGGAGTCAAAAGAAATGGTGGAGGATCCGATACCCCAATGGAAACGCGGACATTCCAACAATTCTTCTCACACTTGTGCACGTTTGCCTTGTCACCATCACAGACCGGCCATGAAACTGAATACCATTGTTATTTGTTTACAAAATGAAATAGCCGGAACGCGGACGCTCTGTGGCGAACGTCCACCAAATCACTGCCCTTTGTGCGAGTCATTGAGGCAATTTCGCGCATCATCCTTCGGAAACTACAATCACCACAGGCAGTGACCGATTCTTACCCCGTCCGCTGGCCGCCTCCGGACGGGGCGGCGGCGGCGGTTCGACTGTCTTGTTAGTACAAAAACCCACCGAGCTCCGCAATTAATTCCCGCCTAAATACCAGTGGAAATGGTAAATGGGGCCGGCCGTCCCCGCCCCGGGCTGCCGGGCCGGCCGGCGCGCGTCCGCGCCGCTCTGCGCTGAGGGCCGGCGCAGGTGGCGCCAGTGCGGGCCGCCGCCGGCGGTGGAGGGTGGCCGGCGGAACGGCGGCTCTCCGGCGCGACGGGCACACGGCCGCGTCAGTTGTCTGAGCTCGCTGGAGACGGGTGGGTGCGCTGTTCCACGCTCCGTGCCATGGTCCTCGCGCGGTGACCGAATTAGAGCAAGATGCGTGTCTCGGCTGTGATACTAGCGCTGGTGGTTGTGGTGAGCGCTGCGGACGATTATTGCGAGCCGACGGCGAAAGATTCGCTGCGGTGCTCGCTGGGCACACTGGACTCTGGGCGCGTCAATTCGACGAGTCCGAGCGATGTTAAACACCTGGAGATTACCTGCACAGAGCGATCGTACTTCCACGAGTTCTTCGATCTGTCATTCCTGCAGAGGTTCGTCAGTCTTCGGTCGCTGAGCATCGCTCACTGCAAGTTCAGCACGGTGAGGCCAGGAGCGTTCCTGGGATTCCCTCAGCTCCAGTCTTTGAGTGTGCGCACCTACAACACCGAGTGGTCGTCAGAGCAACTGCTGCTGGAACGCGGCTGCTTCGAAGGCCTGCGGTCTCTGGAGACGCTGGATCTGGGCGGCAACAACCTCTGGTCGCTGGAGGAGGACGTTCTCGGTGGACTACCGGCGCTGAAGCAACTGAACCTCACCGGTAACAAGTTCCAGGCTCTGTCTGAGCTGCAGCCGGCTGGCGTCAATGACGGCCTGCAGGTTCTGGACCTTTCACACAACAACCTCCTGGAGGTGCCGTCCACCGGTGTCAGGGCGCTGCCCGCTCTCAGGGAGCTCTACCTCTCCGGTAACGAGCTGGCCGTGATCCACGACGGCGCCCTCAGCGGTCTGCGCAAGCTCCAGGTCCTGGATGTGTCCAGCAATCAGCTGGTGGCACTGCCGGCCATGATGTTGAACGAGACTCGCCAGCTGCGTGAGCTGCGTGTCCAGAACAACAGCATCCGCGTGCTGCCGCCTGGCCTGCTGGCCGACCTGCCGCACCTTCTCACCGTCAACATGTCGAGCAACAGCTTGAACGCGCAGTGGATCAGGAAGGACACGTTCGCCGGCCTGTTTCGTCTGATTGTCCTGGATCTTTCAGGTAACCGGCTGGACTCACTGAGTCCAGACGTGTTTGAAGACCTCTCCAGTCTTCAGGTGCTAGATCTGAGCAACAACCAGCTGCAGACACTGCCGACAGGTTTGTTCACGTCTCTGAGCAACCTGCATACGCTGACGCTCTCTGGGAACAGCCTGAATCGTCTAGAGCCCGGCTTCCTGGCTGGTTTGCACGTGCTGAGCCGACTCAATCTTGATGACAACCGGCTGGCCGCCCTCAGTCCAGAGGTGTTCACGAATGTCACAAGTATCGAACAGCTCAGTTTGGCTGGCAATGAGCTCATCTTCTTCCCAGAGGCAATCAACCGACTCACGTATCTCCAGCAGCTGGACCTCAGTGCCAACTTCATCGGAGACATCGCCGGTGAGACGCTCAGGCCCTTGAAGCACCTCAGCTACCTGCGTCTGGCACAAAACAAGCTAACAAACATATCCGCGCACCTGCTGTCCAACCAAAGCTCGCTCACTATGCTCGATTTGTCTCAGAATGAGATTGCAAGCATCGACAGCGGCGCGTTTGACAAGGCCACTAACCTGAGGGCAGTCCGTCTGGATGCTAATCGGCTGCACAATATCAACGGCCTGTTTGCGAAGTTGCCGTCATTGCTTTGGCTCAATGTGTCTGACAATCAGATCGAGTTCTTCGACTATGCCCTCATCCCGACTGAGCTGCGCTGGCTGGACATGCACAAGAACCAGCTGCGCGAAATCGGCAACTTCTACAACCGCGAGTCCAAAATGAAGCTGGAGACACTGGACCTCAGTCACAACCAAGTGTCTCTGATCACCAGCGCTTCCGTTCCCGACAGCATCAAATACTTCATCATTGCCGGCAACCAGCTACTGACCGTGGAGCCGGGAACGTTCGAGAACAAATACCAGCTGATTCGTGCCGACCTGTCCTCGAACCAGCTGAGTGAGCTGGATCTGAACGCCGTCACTCTGCCCGTCCCTGAAGCTGCGGAAGGCGAGGACAACGAATCGGTTGCCGAGCTTCTGCTGGCTGGTAACCCGTTCTTCTGCGATTGCAACATGGACTGGCTGCTCAGGGTGGACACCATGACGCCCAAGCGGAAGTTCCCGAAGGTGAGTTTATCCCGAGTGTGCATGGAATGCTATGGCGAGACGACCTCGTGTGTGCATGAAATGCTGAGTGCATTGCAGACAGGAATGCGGATAGAGATGCGCTCGACTACTCAGTCCAGATTGGTCTGCATTCCCCAGGCTCGGCGCGGCGCGCGGAGGTGGATCCATTTGGCTTGGCGAAATTGCCATTTCGACTCTCGAGCAGAGCTTCTCAGTTGGTCCTCAAAACATTCTGCATCAGCTGCTCGCGTTCAAGGAAAGCTGTCCGGCAGTGTATACTAAATTCATGTCCTCCCTACCCTGTCTGCGCTCTCACGAATCCACCGAATTGCTCAGCATGAGGCTGAGCAAGCGGCTACCGCGCGCCAGATAATGTCAATGAATATTCAGTTACCTCGCCCCAGGGGCACCTGGCGGTTGGTGGCTGAAATTCATTGAGGCGGCAGACCTGCTGGGAGTTTATGGACTGATTTAATCCCCTTCTCCCCGCCGGGCGCCCTTTCGGGGAGATTATCTGTGAAACGCACCACACTCCGTTGGTGGGTAGGCCATTTGTATTCCATGATAATCTTACGCATGGGTCAGGTCGGTCGCAATTACCTTATGGTTTATGAAAACATATGACCTGTTATGTGGCGTACATGCATACATTCACGGCAGACTGTTTTTTTGGTAGACTGTATTTTATCCTAGATTCTTTATCAATGTCGGTGTGGGAGAAAAAGTGTGTGAAACATTTTTACACCACCCTTTATACAGCTGCCCCTGGATAGCCGGGACTTTTTGTCCCGGCTCATCGCCATGGTGGGGGGCCCGGGTGCCCTCAGCGCCGCTTCCACAGCGCTGGGGTTAATCTCACGCACCTAGTTTTTATTCAGTGTGATAAATTTTCCGGCTCTTTCACACGTCTCCCGATTTCCATGCGCTTTGAAAGGTCATCCCGGTGATTGCATTGATCGCGATGTTCATGTGCATATGAACGATTTTATAACGATCAATCGTAAAAATATCTGGTCCAACTTTACTGTCATGCTCATCGTTTTTATGACGCCGTATAATGAATCGTAAACCATACAAACTTTGTCGCTTAATGAAGCCTTTCTTTCGGCAGGTCCTGGACGGAGACCGGGTGATGTGCCGCCTGCTGCACTCGCCGAACCGTCTGACGCCGCTGCGGAAGACAAAACCGTCCGACTTCCTCTGCAACTACGAGCGCCACTGCTTCGCCCTCTGCCACTGCTGCAACTACGTGGCCTGCGACTGCGAGATGAAGTGTCCGGACGGCTGTTCCTGCTACCACGACCACACCTGGAACACCAACATGGTGGACTGCAGCCGCAGAGAGCAGGTGGCGATCTCCCGCGAGATCCCGATGGACGCCACGGCTGTGTTCGCTGACGGCAATAACATCCGCAGCCTCGACAGTCACACCTTCATCGGCAGGAAGCGCATTCGCCACCTACATGTCAACAACTCTAACGTCGAAGAGATCCAGAACCGCAGCTTGAACGGTCTCTCTGCTCTTCAAGTTCTCCGCCTCGAGAACAACCTCATATCCGAGATCCACGACTTCGAGTTTGAGAGTCTGTCATCGCTCCGTGAGCTGTACCTTCACAACAACCGGCTGCGCACCATACATCCGTCGGCGTTCTCCAAGCTCAGATCTCTCGAAGTGCTCACTCTGAGTGGGAACGAGCTGACCACCTACCCAGTCTGGCAGCTTTCAGCCAACTCCTACCTGGTGGAGCTGGCGCTGGCCAACAACCCGTGGTCCTGCGAGTGCTCGTTCTCTGCACGTCTCACCAGCTTCCTGGCTGACAATCACGCCAAGGTGGAGGACGCCGACTCCGTCCAGTGTGAGTACTCTGGGACAGCGCCTGACTGCAGTGCCGAGCTGGCCAACAAGTCGGTCCGCCGAGCCGATTCCTCGCGACTGCTACCACTCGTCCTGGTCGGTATCAGCGCGTTGGCCGTCGCCGCCGTCACCGCCTGCCTCGTCTTCCGCTACCGCGCCTGTGTGTGCGCTAGGCGGAAGGCCGCGTCAAGGAAGCCGTCCTACATGGATGCCGTCGGCGTGGCTGCCGTCACTCCTGATGTGGACAAGCTGTACGATGTGTTCGTCACCTATAGCGCTCAGGACACGCGCTTCGTCAATGAAGCGCTAGCTCCTGAGCTAGAGCATGCGGCGCCGGCCCTGCGGCTGTGTCTTCTGCGTCGTGACGCGCCCAACACCAGCTACCTGGGCGACGCCGTGCACCACTGCGTGCAGGCCTCGCGCAAGACACTGCTCGTCGTCTCGAGGAACTTCCTCGACAACGAGTGGTGCCGGTTCGACTTCAAGGCGTCTCACCTGGACGCTCTGCGGACTTCTCGCGGAATCGTGGTGCTGCTGTATGGTGTAGAGCGGAGTGCGATTGAGGGTGAACTCAAGACCCTCCTCAAGGGCGCGCCGTGCGTGACTTACGGTGAGCCAGACTTTTGGCGCAAGCTGCGCGGCCTGCTGCCGCAGTGTCGTGGCTTCAAGCACACCCTGCCGCACAGCGTCAGCGAGCAGTCGTACATGGCGCGTGTCTGCCGCGACAACACGCTGCTGCAGTCCATGCTGCAGAGCGACTCGTCGCCGACGTGCTCCACGGTCGTGTCGGACGACCGCTCCGACGACCCGGTGCACATCCGCTCCGACTCCAACAACCCGCTGGTGAGCAACGCCCAGCCGCTGCACAACAGCAGTTACAGCAGCATCCAGCCCAGCGAGCACACCTACATGACCATCGAGCAGTACCAGACGGCGGCCGGCGCGCTGCTCAGCCCCGAGGCCGACCTCTACAGCACCTTGGAGCCGGAGGTGCAGCCGCAGATGCCCTCTGACCCGGCGCACCCGAGTCATCTTTATCATCAACGGGAGCTGTCTCACTCGCTCTGGGTGTAGCCGTCGCTGGCTCGGTGTTGGACTGTTTCTCAGGCTGTGGTGTGGAGCGGGGCGGGCGAGTGCCGGACGACCGGCGGGCTCGTGTGACCCATCCCACCACCATGGGCGAGGCCGGTGGACTCAGACGTTTGGTCCGGCTGTGATCTCGGCCGCAGAGGCATCTTCCTCGGCATCAGGTCACTACTGCCGACACTGCTGCTGCTGTAGGAGCTCCACTACTCGTCCGACTAAAGCTGCTAAGGTGAGCTCGATTGACTAATCCCGGTTCATAGTCGTTATGATTATCGAATTTCTCTAACAACACTGTTCCAGTTCTCTCTTATTGTGTGTCAGAACTAGGCTCATGTATTCATGGTGTGGACGTTAAACCGGTCAATCTTCTCGTAGATTTGATCTCCCTTGTTACACTTGCCGTTCGTTCGCTCAACTGGGTCAGTCAAACCAGAAATCTAACAGGCTACCGCCGATAATCATGTATTTCCTGAACATACTCGCATGACGCCCCAAAAGCCGGGTATTACCGATGCTACGAGCCCCGGTTTAACGGTGTCGACTTCCTACAGTTGCGTGTTGCACGACATAATCCGGATCTAAACCTGCACATCGTGTTACAAATTATTATGCTTGTTTTACCCGTCACCTGCCGTGTTGAATGCCAACACAAAATCTGACTTTGATTCTATTCCACAGGTTTCTCTGCGGATGCACCAGCCGGTTGAGTGACCTGACCTGACCTGCATGGCCCTCTTCCGTCGCACCATGCGGTACCGGACCACCAACCTACTCTCGGCGGCCGGGCCGGTCCTCGCGCCAGATAAAGGGTCTCGTCCAAAACAAGCTAGTCATGTATGCAAGTGGTGAACCGAGTATTATACCCACCTATGTTCTGCTAATACAAATGATGAAGATGTCCATTGTTTTCTCGCTGCTGACGAGGGTGTAACGGGAATGGAGTGAGAGCAATGACGGAGGCCGTATTTGGGGAGCGCAATATGTAGAAGTAGGACCGTGCAGTGTGCAATTAAGGTCTAGAAACGCTGCACAATTCGTCAGGACTCCGGTTAAACTCCTCTCTTCCTCGGTCCTTCTCTTCGGTAACCACAGAACACTCAACAATGTCCACTATCAACTAAAACCAGCACCACAGAAACGCATCCATGCTCATCGGATCTTCTTTTTCTGTGTGTCTGTGTGTCTGTCTGTTTCTGTCTGTCTGTTTCTGTCTGTCTGTTTCTGTCTGTCTGTCTGTGTCTGTATGTGTCTGTGTCTGTCTGTCTGTGTCTGTATGTGTCTGTGTCTGTCTGTCTGTCTGTCTGTCTGTCTGTCTGCCTGTCTGCCTGTCTGTCTGTCTGTCTGTCTGTCTGTCTGTCTGTCTGTCTGTCTGTCTGTATGTCTGTCTGTCGCCGGGTTCAGCTCCCGCCTCCTGGGGCGCCACGGGTGCCTGTTACCGGTACTGCCGGCCGAGCGCACTGTCATGTAGCCCTGAGTGCGGACATAATGACGCAGCACTCTGTCAACCACCTGGTCATCAGCAAAAACGCCGACCGAAACGAGCGGGTATAGCTCACCGGACCCGTCGGCTCGGCAGCGATAAAGATAACGGTAGGATCTATGCCGGAACATTATACAGATGAATGACGTTATGCCGGCCAGAGCTGGAGCGATCAATTATCCACAAGATAAATAAACAATTAATGACGGTGCTTGGTTGCAGTGTTATGATCCGAAAGACATATGAGAAGTGATTTGAGATCAGCAAGCATACGGTACAACTAATGTCAACATCGTTTATGCATATGGATAAATCAGATTGCTTGAAGCCTGTGGCGAATGCTGCTAAACAACTGTTCACAGTTCTAGATATCAAATTCGTCTTATCTCTTCCAGCAACATTGACTTAGGCTAGGTATATGCATGTCTGACACTTAAATGCAGCACCGTGTTATGATTCATTTTCGCATATTCGTATAAGAGAAGTCTGCGACTCTGGCCATTTCCTGCAGTTCCCTCCAATATTCTGCCATCCCCGACAGACTCGGGCCGTTCCGCCGCCGTTCTAGCTCCACTTCCGGCTACTTCCGGCCACTTCCGGTTACTTCCGGCACGAGTCGCCGAGCAACAGCCGGCAATACAGACACGAGCTCTCCGCCACGTGTCACGCGCCACGGGCACACGTGCCGGTCGGCTCGTGGAGCCGTGTTTACCAGTGCCACACAATGCCACATGACTGTTGGTCGGGCATAGGGTGGCGAGCTTCATCAATAGATCAGCCGGCGAGCGGTCACAGACGCACTGCTCGCGAGCGCTGCTAATGGATTGCTCCTGCCGCCCACTGCCGACCGATGGAGCATTGCGCGACGTGCGTGTGCTGTTTGCCGTTCATAATAACTGGATGTCGCCGTGGATACATCAATCGGCTCGGAGAGCGCTGTGCCGCGCTGCTGACAGTTTATTGTCCCTGGGGCTCCACAGTGGCGGCACAGTCATCAGCCGGCGTATGGATAAATGGTGACTGGATGTGGCGAACAGAATACGGAACTGAGTTCAAGGATACCTATCTGTTAAAATTAGAGCTCTGCCTCGTTTCAGCACGAGAGAAGAAATGGCATGTTATAAAAGGTTTCACATAATACACAATGAAAAACATCAACTCAATTTTATAAAGGTTTGCTTTTAAGCGTAGCTGGTTTTGCGAAAGATTTTAGCATTAATAGCGTAAATCAGATAATTGCCCATTTTAAGTCGAGCACACAGGGACCACCAAGCCAGCTCCAGACATTATCGGGCCCTCCACCGAAGCCACTAAGTTAGTATTGCGGAGGTCTCTGCGACAACTGCACCCTGGGGACCCCCGTGGCTAACCGACCAGCGCTCGCGGCGGTGCCTGGGGCAGTATGGTCGGCGGATGGCGGCAAGCGGCACCCCTCTGGTCCGCCGATTTGCGATGCATTGAAGTTTGGGGACCGACGCCGGAGGTCTATGTCGTCCGTTCATATCTCGCCCGCCGCCAGCCGGTATCGCCGCCAACATCGCTGGGGACGAGTCGAGCGGAGGCAGCGCGCACGGCGGACCGGATATCAATGATTTTAATTAGCGAGCTGACTGGCAGGGAGCTGCGGGATAACCGCACTCAATCAGGCGGCAGAGAGGAGCAGTCCGCCGATTCCGCTCCCCCTCTCTCTCTCTGCTCTCGGTCGCGCTCGGCGCAGCTAATCAGAAACTGAGTCAGATGTGATGAATCAGAGTTGAGTCGCAACGGCGGATAGAAGGAGGGTAAAAAAGTGAGATAGATCCATTGCAGGCAGAAATCACCCTGCGAATATCAAACAGACGTCGTGGCAAGTTGTGTTTGCTTTGAAGGCTGGACAGACTAACTACGATTAAATCGACATCGGATGGCTGAGTGAGGCGCGATGGAGCTGTAACTCAAATACAAGGAGATTTGTGCGTAATCAAGACACACTGCGAAAGTGCGTAGTGGAGCATCGATGAAATACGATTGGCGCTGCACCACTGCATTGAGACAGCGAATTTCTTTGAACAGCCCTCGTACTGGCAGGTAAAGTAGATGACCCATTTATCGTCACACACGTCTGGTGCCTCCCGGGACTGTCGGAATCAAATCGGATTAAAGTACGCTAAATTGCCAATCTCTGAACCGTAAGAACTGGTGCGCTGACAGGAACAGAAGCTCTCGGAAGCCCAGTGGACTTCCCTCATTTATTATGCAGACTTTGCCGACTTAGATCGAATGGAAAATGAGGGAAACAGATTCAAATAGCAACATCAGCCAATCATGGCTTGATATGTTCTCGAGACCATGACAGACGATAACGAATTATTATAGTGAGTCAGCAATCTATTTGCATTATTAAAAATTTCTATTTTACAGCTTTTATCATCCAACCAAATAGCTTGAAAGTAGAAAAATGCATACAAAGATGCCAGGTCCCTCTTCAAGCCATCCTTACGTTATACATATTTTCGCGGACAGATGACTATTGCTTAGCCTTTCTATTACATTATTCGTTTCCTTTTTAAGTTGTCTTCTTGCATTGCTTTGATGAAATGTCTGCGTTGCCTTACTGAAATTGACGTGCAAGCAGAATAAGGCAGCATGTAAACAAACCTGTTCAGAGCTGCTGCTCGGGATACGTTTGTGCCCCTGGGGCTCTGATTAAAGTGGGCACTCTCCTCAGACATGCTCACACGGGTCTCTCCGTTCATCAAGCATATATGCCAGCCAGAGTCCGCGGCTCCCTGCTGTAAGCTTGGGTTCTTGGGCTCAGTCGCGACGCTCCCATCTCCTAGCTGAAGGCCACTCCGACGAGCGCAATCAATGTTTAAATGTATCATATCCACAGCCAGTGACATTCGCCAGCGTTTCAGTGCCAGTTTGCTGGGATGGACAGCCGCTGAACTCCGAGCGGCCCGAGGCAGCCGTCGGATGGAGGGTCGTATCATGAGCGTGCCTCATTTCGATCCCTGATTTCATGACGGCATTTAGACTTCTAAATTGTGACACGCTACAGACCAGTCCATGTGTCATGTCTGTATGTACTCACCACTCACCAACCCTGACGACAGTTAAGATAAAAAAAGTTAAAATAAACAAACGTCTCTCGGAAGTTAAAATAAAATATCCAAATATTTGCAGCTCACAATCGCGTTTGGAAAAAAATTGCAAGCACCCATGTCTGAATAGCGTGACTGGCTGACAAAGATAAGCATTGGTAAGCAGAACTGATCAGCACATCTTGGAAAATTTGTATCTTCATCTGAGCGATGTCATTCGACCCTTCTTGAACAACTCCTCTAGGTCATGAACTTTATGGCTTTCACCAGAACCAGAAAAGGGCCGGCACAAAAAGCTCCAGTATAGGCTGGCGACGCCACCGGCACATGCTGTGACCGGATGTCTCCTCTCCAGCACAACGAGCCCAGTGTCTCGGCCAGTCCCTTCGGACACTCGGCACAGATGACGTCATCAAGGGCTGCTACCTCACAGGATGCCGAACGGCCGTCCGTCAACATTAGCCGAGATGGCCATGGCTGTAAAAAGAGCGTCGCAAACGCGGTTTTACAGCCTGAACGAACGGTGCGTGCCATAAACCCCCCAGTAGCAGGCCGGTGCGCCCGGGGAAGGGACCGACCCACCCTGTCCGGACGACCTGCCCCAATCGTCGGCAGGCTGTTCCCGTCTGCTTCTGATTTTCCAAGGACACGTGCGGGCCATGAGGACAGTGGAACATGTGAGCGAAGTGGACATAAAGGTTCGCTCAGGTCCTAGCGTAGTTTATACACCATGTGCTGGGGTTCTTGTGCTCTGAAGTTTGAAAGGGAGCTTCGTGTGACGGAACAGCGCTCCTGTGTTCAAGAGGTCGGTGTAGCTAACATGGGAAATAAATTGCCCTGGATACAAGGATCGCCGTTCTGTAGTCACGCTCATTTCTACTTCTTGGGTTATTTCGGGGAAGCGGCAGTATGGCAACGTTCGACAGCGACTCTGTTGTTGGGCCATCGCGCATACACGAGAACACTCAGACGTGCGTTTTGCTTCTTTATTCTGCCAGCGTAGTTCGGTTTCGGGTCCCATACAGCGAACCAAATGACGACGAACTCAGACACATCGTTGTCGAACTCAAAACTGCGTGCAGCTGGAAGAAGCAAGAAGTGCATCAACAGCCACAGTGGGCACAAAACAGCAACAATTTGTAGTTTTGGACGTTTTCGATACCTACACCATCAAGGTTGGTAAGGCTATTAGTGGATTTATGAGTGGTCGTGAGAGATAAGGAGTGCCATGACAAATAAGAAACACGAAGAGAGGCGTGACGGCTCCCAGATTTTTATGCTGGTGCTCGTCCAACGGGAATAAAAACGTAACTTTTTCGTTCTTCTGAAGTAAAA